CCTGCTCAGGGACACTCACCTCTCCTGTCACTATGTACTTCCCATCTGGGGAGAAGGCCAGAGCACTCAGGGACTTCCTAGGGACAAGAAAAGAGTCATCGCTGGTTCCACCATTCTGCCCACTCCAGCTCTCAGCATTCTGCCCACCCCTGATCCCCAAGGCTGGGGAAAGGTTTGGAGGAATGAATGCCAGCAGCTCCTACACACCCAGTGTAGCCTGTACGCCCAGCATGTCACTCAGGGAACTGCAACAAAAGCCAAGGGCTCTTCCTCAACACCAAACTCTGTAAACCCAGGATGGAGTTTCCGACTTCTTCCCCAGTGAACTTCCCAAGACCCTCTCTCCTGTAACATAAGCCTGAAACTCAGACACAGGAACAGGCACAGACTTAGCCTAACTAGAGAAGCGGTGCCAATGGGAGAACACAGGCAGACACGGCAGAGACACAGCATATTTCATGTTCTAGAAACCCCCACAACCAAAATGCTCCTAATACTCTGTGTGTGCACGTATGCATGTGGAGGCCAGAGGTCAACTTTTGTTGGTGTGGCTCCTCAGGAGCTGGCTACCTTGTTTTCTTGAGACAAGATTTCTCGATGGGACCCAGGGCTCACCAGTTAGGCGAGGCTAGCTGGTCAGTGAGCCCACAGGGATCTCCATCCCTACCTTCCCAACACTGGAAACAGAAGCACATGTCACCATACCTAACTTTTTTGGGGGGAGGGGTGTATTTGGAGACAGGCTTTCACTGTGCAGCCCTGGGTGTCGTGGAACTCACTCTGTAGACCAGGCTGGCCTCCAACTCAGAGATCTGCCTGCTTCTGCCTCCTGAGTCCACACCTAACTTTTATTGTGGGTCCTGGGATTGGGTTTGGGTCCTCATGGTTGCACAGCAAGTGCTCTACAGACTGAGCTGTCTCTCCAGCTCCTCTTTTACTCCTAGCTAGCCTGAACACAGTCTGAAGGCCAGACTAGTTTGCACGCCTTTTAGAAGCAAGGCCATGCCCAGATTACACAGCTTCAGCTCCTCCTCCATTTCAATCCTGGTTTATTTTCTTAGGCAAGATCTCACGACATAGTCCTGGCCTTACTTCATAACCCCAAGTGCCGAGATTACAGGCTCCTGTGCCACCTGCCTGGCTTCTTACTTTGCCATCCTCCATGGCCTGTGGATGCCAGCCAGTGGCTTCTCTTTACAGTTGGTGTGACACCAGCTCCCTCTCCAAGACACAAGGAGGTGACACGGTTTGTTTCAGCTGTCTCTTCCCTGTGCCCAGCACTTGGGCCCACAGCTGTTCTGCTGGTCACCTGACTCTCAGCCTCTGTAGCACTCTTGCTAGTTTTCCTTCACATGGGTATGGGCTTTTTCTAGATCTCAGACTTGGGGGCCGTCAATATAGCTTCCCCGTTCTCTTCCCTAACACCCACCACCCCTGCGAGCATTGCCTCCGCGTCACTGATCACAATCAGCTAGTGATCGGCTGGGGGGGGGGCCGGCTG